GCCCACCAGAAAGGCTTTTTTCACGGTAGTCTTTTTGGAACTCTAAATGCGAACTAGGTCCCATCCTGTGGGGCATACAGAAAGATTCTGAGGATAATAAATATCAAGGAAGCTGAACTAGCCTACCTAAAAAGGAATGCTTAGGAAGAATCCTGAGGACTGGCATTCATCACAGTGGGCCATCTCCCAAGAAAAACACTATTTGTGCTCGTGAGAGGCCTGAGTGGGAGGAATTCATTGACAATGAAATTCCTTAGCACCAAGCTGGAACGTCGAGGAAAGTTTCCTCTGCCTTTATTGAACAGAAAAGATTTTACTTGAACTGATTTGATGACCTCTTTGGGTTATAACCTTGTTTTGGAAAGCAATAAAAAGCCGTTTTTTTCACACAAGGTCTTGTAATTTACTCAGCACTTGCTTCATTTCACACTTTTGAAAGGTAAATCCCGTGGTAGCAAATGTGTACTTCCTAAACTGCATACTAAACATTTCAGTCATATTTGATGTTGTCCAAAAAGTCTTCGCACTGGAAATTCTGCGTCTATATAGACAAGACTCTCCCTGTGTGACGATCTTATATGACATTGTATTTCAGAACAGAAAGTTTGATTTTAGAAACTTCTAGATGTAAAGTTTTCTTGAGAATAGTAAATACCTGAAGCTGTGTAGTCTCCACATCAGAGGCTTACAGGTGTTTGTCTTCCAAACTTTGAAAGAAATTTATGGCCAGGGTCCAAAACACTACTTAGTAAACATAATATGCATCAGTGTGCCAGCCCCACATGACAAGCAAGTGATAAGTAAGGGAAGAACAGACCCTTGGAGGATAGAGTAGGGTTTGTTGGTGGCAGTCCTTTAATTACATTTGTAGATACTAATACATAATAAGTTGATAGTTTCATTTGTTCTTATTTACTGTACCTTATTTTCAAGTATAATACATTAAAACGATGATAACCCAGAGACTTTTTGAAAGAGCTTTAAAATAAGGGGGTTTTATTGGATTAGAAACTCTTAGGTCCTTAAATATTTTGAAACTTCAGAACCAGATATGTTGATGCATAATTAGGAATGGTCATTAATTTTAAAAAAATACATTCTGTCAAGTTTTACTTATCTCTTTCCACATACCCAAACTTTCCGTGAACCAATTCTATGATATAGTGACATCAAAAAATGGTAGTTGCTGGCCGGGCGCAGTGGGTCACGCCTGTAATCCCAGCACTTTGGGAGGCCGAGGCAGGCGGATTACGAAGTCAGGAGATCAAGACCATACTGGCTAACAAGGTGAAACCCCATCTCTACTAAAAATACAAAAAAATTAGCTGGACGTGGTGGCGGGCACCTGTAGTCCCAGCTACATTGGGAGGCTGAGGCAAGAGAATGGTGTGAATCCAGGAAGTGAAGCTTGCAGTGAGCCAAGATTGTGCCACTGTACTCCAGCCTGGGGCAACAGAGCAAGACTCCATCTCAAAAAAAAAAAAAATTGTAGCTGGTGTTGAACATGGCCCAGTTACAATTTTACATTATTTTACACTAACTATTAGTTATAGATTACTTATAGAAATTGTCTATTGAGTCCAGGCATGGTGGCTCACACTTGTAATCCCAGAACTTTGGGAGGCCAAGGCGGGCAGATCACTGGGTCAGGAGTTCGAGACCAGCCTGACCAACATGGTGAAACCCCATCTCTACTAAAAAAAAAAAAAAATCAAAAATTAGCCAGGTGTGGTGGCATGCACCTGTAATCCCAGCTACTCAGAAGGCTGAGGCAGGAGAATCGCTTGAACCCGGGAGTGGAGGTTGCAGTGAGCCAAGATCGTGCCACTGCACTCCAGCCTGGGTGACAGAGTGAGACTTTATCTCAAAAAAGAAAGAAAAAAGAAATTGTCTATGGGAGAAAAAATTGTTATAAAAAGTAAAATGCAAGAAAATTACCTGTCATATTTCACACTTGTTTGAGGGTATACAATGTTTAGTCCTTTGAAATTAAAAATTATAGTAGTCCTATAAAATATTCTCAATGTGCAAGGCAATCCAACTAAAGAAAATACCATGTAGATTGTTCACTATATTCAATGTTAATTGGAAGGTCATAGTTTAATAGATATGAAACTGAACATAATAAAGACTCTGCCTTAATACAAAGCAATAGTCTAATTTGTTTGGGGCTATAATTCTTCAAATAACTAAGCTGGCTTCCTCTCAGTTTTACTGTGTTCACATATTATGCACACTTATACACTAAAATCTTCAAGCAATACAAGTTTTGATTTTTGGTCTCTAAAACTGACTGACAAAATCTAAACTGATTAATCAGAGAACCTAAAAAACATTATGTTTTTTCAGTGATATGTTTCCCATTAGAGCTTGTTTTTAACTGGAACGCTATGCATGTTGAATGGGTACAACATTTGCAAGATTTATCAAGTTTGGGTGAGCAATGCTAATACTGCTGACGGTTCTGCTCTTGGAAAAGGGCCGTGCTTTCTGTTGCATGCGGACACTGACCCTGTACTTTCTTTCCTTTCCTTTGTTTCCTGTGCCATGCTTGCTGTGTAGCAAATGGAATCTCTTGCAGTAAGTTAACTTTCTTTCATACTCTTTGTCCATTTAGGCATGGACCCATAACAACCCTTATTTTTACCGTTACTGTTATATCTCTTAGCATGTTTTCCCTTTCTCATTTTAATTTATTTTATTTGGTAGATTAAGACATGGCAGTTTATTAGTAGCATTCTGGGCTGCTTTTGCCCCAAAGTAGAAACCTATATTGCTATGAATTCTCATACTGTCAGTGGAATATTTTGTGTAATAACTACCATGATTTGGCACAGGAAAGTCAGACTTTTCATAGCTAGGTTTCACCCTAAATTGTGAAGGTAATATTGTTTTTAAACAATATTTTTTTATTTATTTGCAAGTCTCTGGCAGTTATCTTTTATACCAGATTTTTAAAGTTTCCCCTAAAGAGAAGTTTAAAGACCACAAAATACAATATTTTACTAAAACAACCAAATATCCAGTTTGAGTTAATTAGTCAGTGTAGCTGCTTCTTTAATCTTAGGCTGGTTACCGGTATTGAGAGATCAAATAATCTAGGCAGAATTGGTTCTCCCCTAAAGAGCAGGGAAGGGCTAGAAAGAGAAAGGAAACCATTCAGCATAGTCTTAGCATGAATTTTAGTAACTTTTAAGATTTAGGATCAAAAGTCTGTTAATAATATCAATAGAACATTCTTCCTAAAACCTAAATTCTTGTGATTTCTCTCCTTAAATTGATTGGGGGAAACAGTTTTAAGTCACCTTAGAAGCTCTCAATTCTGAGCTGCCTTCTTTGTAGTCCTTGGTAAAAGAAAGGCCCTATTTATCCTACCCCATTTGAAAACTGAACAGTGAAGCATTTAGTTTAAACCACATATTTAACTCACTTTCACTGGTGACTGCTGGCCATGAAATTCTGTTGAGCGAAGGCTGTTCCTTTCCTTTCACAGAATCCCATCCACTCACTACCTGGGAGCAAACTCATTCTTGGAATAAAACAGGCAAAGTGTAGAGGGTACAGCTCCAAGTTTAGTCGATCACTGGCATTGGAATTATTATTTTTCCCTCAGAGTATACATAAGCTGTGTAAAGACCACACTATAGGGTACAGAGGCACAAATGCATCCCTGAAACATTTTAAATTCCAGAGGTATCTATGTGGCTCAAGGGCCATTGTGTATGATTACTTTTTGATGTCCTTTCCACAGAAATTTTCAAATGTGTTCGTAATTTCTTTTTTTAAAGCATTTTTTGGTCCCTTTTTATCTCTCTTTAATTCAACAAGTACTTACTGAGCACAGAGTAGACGTATCATCAGTAAGCCTGATACAGGACTCTGGAGGACCACGTGATTGTTACGTTTACAGGGGCCCAGGCGTCTACTGAATTTATAAGTTTAACACCTAAAACTGCTTAATGTTTTGCCTTTCAAATATACTTTTAATAAAAGGAAATTTTTCTGCTTAAAAATAATTTATAGCTTATAAAAATGAAGACAACCACTCAGCTATAATTGGTAGGTATTTAATTGGCAAATATAATGGAAATATGGCTGTCTACTCAGTCCCTTTATAGGTGCTACTCTCTAATTAGTCATCCATTACACAGACTATAATCGAAATTATACCGTGGATTTCTCACTGATATTTAATGACTGTATTTTGTTTTTCTGTTTTATTTGGAATAACAGCTGGTTATGTTTTCTTAATTAAAAAAAAAAAAAAAGTTTGTCTCCATTGAGATTTCACTAGTTATATGGGAATGATCTTTAATAATAACTATTTCTTCCCGTGCAATTTCTCTCTTTAGCAATTGGAACTGTGTCAGAGATTGTATAAGCTACACTTCCAGCTGCTATTGCTTTTTCAGTCCTACTGTAAGCTCATCGGCCAGGTGCACGAAGTTAGCTCCATGCCAGAGGTGAGTCTACGTGCTTTCCAACCCCACGTCCCACCATGAAAATCATTTCTTTTGTTCTTCCCCACTCCACCCCATTTATAACTGCCCAAGTGATTTTATTCCCGCATCATTATTTTGCTCAAGCACAAGTGTGAAATAAACATGTCCTGTATGTATTTCTATTCTCATTTTTAAAAGCAAAGTCAGGAGTAGGTATGGAAAGTGAAGTGCCTTAAAATTTAAGAACGCGTGTAGGAGAGAACCTTCCTGTGGGTTATGCGCTAGGTGCCTTGCTTGCATCTCCCTGATCTTGGCCCTGGGGCTGGGCATCCTTATTTGAAAAGTTTCCATGGGTGTGGGTTTTCTTCTTTACATTAGTTTTTCATATTTGCCCTTACCTTGAGGTAAGAAGGAAATGTCTGTATGATGTGTTTGGTTCTCTTCAGTTTCCCTGCCCTACTTAGCACCAGGATGTTTTAATATTTTAAAATATTTTAAATGAAATAATTTTTACTGCTGAGTGAGCCAAAATTTTTCTACAAATGAAGAAATACTACTGCAGTGTAGTCAGTGGAATAATGGTTGTGTGTACTGGATACTATAGAAGCACAGAGGACTAACACCTCATTTGCCTAGAGGTAAGAAAGGTTGAAACTGAAGAGCTTGCTGGAGGAAACCACACCTGAGTGGACTCTCAGAGGGTGAGTTGGAGTGAGGGAGGAGCATTCCAGTAAGAACAAACAGCATGGCCATAAGCCCGATGGGAAGAAAGAGAAAGGAACTACAAGCTACTTAGTATTGCTACAATAGAAGGTGCACCAAAAAGGAGCTATGAGATAAGGCAGAAGAGAGAGGGGTAAAGGCGAGATCATAAGACATGCTGCGCCTAGGAGTATTTCAGGTAGATCTCTGTGGCAGCTATGTGGAGGGTGGATCTGATGACAGCTAGACCAGAGACATGGAGACCAGTGATGAGGCTGCTGAAATAGTTCAAACAGAAGGAGAGAGTTTGAACTGGGACAGAAGTCCTAGGTATGGAGAGGAGGAAGGAAATGTGAGACACAGGACAAAAGATCAATGAAACTGATGGGGGGATGAAGGAGAAGGAAGAGTTGAGGAGAGGATGACACTCAGGTTCCATCTTATATAAACTAGGTGAGCAGTGGCACCAAAGCTGAGACAGGGATATAGAAAGAAGGACTGAGGCAATGCTGTGTCCAGACAGTCAAGCCTTCTCCCGGCTAGCCAGTTGCTGCATACTGGACAAGACCTGGCTTAAACGGTGACTGACATCTTGCAGGTGGTTAGACGTGAGGTCAGGGGAGAGATCTGGACAAAAGGCACAGATGTGATTGTGAACAAGCAGAAGTCAATTAAACCATGCCAATGACAGCAGAGAAGTGAGGATGAAGCCTGGAAAACCTCACCATCTAAGAGCAGAGGAGGAAGAGCCGCAAGAGACAAACTACAACCATTTTACCATTTTTTTATTACTCAGTTTGAAAAAAGGAAAAAACTATACAACTTTCAAATGCTTATTTCAAGAGAGTAGGCCTTCATAACCGGTTTTCCTCTATTCAATTACAAGTTGTCAGATAATGGGAATCAACTCTTCTTTTTTATTTGCCACATGGTCAAGATATACTTTTTTGGTTTTTTTTGAGACCAAGCTTCACTTTTGTTGCCCAGGCTGGAGTGCAATGGCACAATCTCAGCTTACCACAACCTCCTCCTCCCACGTTCAAGCTATTCTCCTGCCTCAGTCTCCCGAGTAGCTGAGATTACAGGCATGTGCCACCACACCTGGCTAATTTTGTATTTTTAGTAGAGATGGGGTTTCACCATGTTGGGCAGGCTGGTCTTGAACTCCTGAGCTCAGGTGATCCACCTGCCTTGGCCCCTGCGAAGTGAGCTGTGAGCCACCACGCCCGGCCAGGATTCACCATTCTTGATGCCATTAAGAACATTCATGATTCATGAAAGGAAGTCAAAATATCAACATTAACAGGAGTTTGGAAGAAGGTGATTCCAATGAACGACTTTGAGAGGCTCAAGACTTCTGTAGGGGAAGTAACTGCAGATGTGGTAAAAATAGCAAAAGAACTAGAATTAGAAGTAGAACCTGAAGATGTGACTGAATTGCTGTAGTCTTATGATAAAACCTGAATGGATGAGGAGTTGCTTCTTATGAATGAACAAGTAAAGCTTTTTTTGTTGTTTGTTTTTGAGATGGAGTCTCACTCTGTCGCCCAGGCTGGAGTGCAATGGCATGATCTCGGCTCGCTGCAACCTCCACCTCCTACGTTCAAGCGATTCTTCTGCCTCAGCCTCCCGAATAGCTGGGATTACATGCCTGCGCCACCACGCCCGGCTAATTTTTGTATTTTTAGTGGAGACGGGGTTTCACCATGTTAGTCAGGCTAGTCTCAAACTCCTGACCTCAAGTGATCCACCCCCGTTGGCCTCCCAAAGTGCTGGGATTACAGGCGTGAACCACCACACCCGGCCCAAAGTTTCTTTAGGTGAAATTTACTCCTGGTGAAGATGCTGAGAACATTGTCAAAATGACAATAAAAGATTTACAATATTACACAAACTTAGTTTATAGAGCAGTGGCAGAGTTTAAGGTGATTGACTGTAGTTTTGAAAGAAGTTCCAAGGTGTATAAAATGCTGTCACATGCTACAGAGAAATATTTCATGAGAGGAAGAGTCAATCAATAAAGCAAACTTTGGCCGGGTGTGGTGGCTCACACCTGTAATCCCAGCACTTCGGGAGGCCAAGGCGGGCAGATCACGAGGTCAGGAGATCGAGACTATCTTGGCCAACATAGTGAAACCCTGCCTCTACTAAAATACAAAAAATTAGCCGGGCATGGTGACCCATGCCTGTAATCCCAGTTACTTGAGAGGCTGGGGTAAGGGAATCACCTGAACCTGGGAGGCGGAGGTTGCAGTGAGCTGAGATCGCATCACTGCACTCCAGCCTGCTGACAGAGCAAGACTCCGTCTCAATAAATAAATAAATAAATAAATAAAGCAAACTTCTTTATTGTCTTATTTTAAGAAATTGCCCCAATCACCCCAACCTTCAGCCACCACCACCCTGATCAATCAGCAGCCATTAACATTAAGGCAAGATCCTCTACCAGCAAAAACATAATTACTCACTGAAGGCACAGAGGATTGTTAGCCTTTTTTAGCACTAAAGTGTTTTTTAATTAAGGTATGTACATTTTTAGACTTAGTGTACTTAGACTACAATATTGTGTAAACATAATTTTTATAGGCATGGAGAAATCAAACAATTGACATGACTCACTTTATTGCAGATGTCTGGAACTGAGTATTTCCAAGGTATACCCGGTGTGTGTATTTATATGGGTACATGCACACACAGTGTTTAAATACTATATAAGTTTTAAATACTGTATATGTACACACACAATGTTTAAAACCTATCTAGGTTTAAAATAAGAAGAAATGTGCTTTCAAATTTAAAACTACATACAAAATTAAGATATTCTAATATCTTGTTTTAAAATATTATTTCAGTAAATTTTAAACCTACTTCTATAGTAGGTAGTTGTATTTAACAGGCATGTGTGCGAAGAAAAACTAATCCTTCAAAGCTTCAGTTTTTTATAGTTTGTACCATGAGTGAGTTGGGAATGAAGAGGAGAAGCAAAGATGTTGAATAAATAACTTTCCAAAGTAAGCAGGCATCATCAACTTGCATTACAAAGAGAAAAAAAACCTTTAATTTTATGCCAATTTTTTAATGTTCTTGAGATCAAATTGCAAAACTACCATCTTCCGTAGTATATTTTGAGACACTTAGAAGTAACACAGGTTTTCTTATGCTTTACTTTTTAACACTCTGGATCCTTTGGTTCCAATACCTTCGAGGGAAAATATCTTTTACTGCTGTAGCATTAATGCAAACATTAGTTTAAGATTATTCCTCCTCCTCAAAATTGTGTCTTCAGCACTTTCCCATGGCATGGAACCAAGAGTGAGAAAAACTTATTATTAGGACAGAGTCCTTGGTCACGATTACGTTTATTGAGCACTTAGGTGCTGGACTGTACTAAGCATTTTGTATACATTATTTCCACTTAATCTTTAAAATAAACCTTTAGGATGGCTATTATCTTCAGTCTCACAGATGAGAAAACTGAGGCACGTAAAAGTCAATTAACTTGTCCATATTCCTACAGTACACTGCAGAGCTGGCATTTGAACCCAGATCTTACTCACTCTTGAGCCTGATCTCTTGTATTCTTTCCTTCTGTATGTATTCCCTATTTAAGTAGAACTTAAGTAGAAACCATTTTAAATGAAGTCTTAATCTTTTCTATAAGGAGAGCATCTCAGCGGTTGACACGTATCCAATGCATCCAACTCCACAATCCCCTACACATACAGTGGAGTACAATGTCATCTATCCTACTTGAATTTACCAAGGTATTAAGCTTATGCTTAACCACACCCATAAGATCCTTTTTTTCTTTTTTTTTTTTTCTTTTGGGATATAAAATTCCCCCAGCACCTAAATATAGTTTAAAAAACCTTTTTTTTTTTTGAAACAGCTGCTGAATATGTCCAGGGAACTGAGTGACCTAAAGAAACACCTGAAGGAAGCCAGTGCAGTCATTGCAGCTGACCCTCTCTATTCAGAGGGTGCGTGGTCTGAGCCGACCTTCACGTCCACTGAAGCAGCCATCCAGTCCATGCTGGAGTGCCTGAAGAACAACGAACTCGGCAAAGCTTTGCGGCAGATCAGGGAGTGCAGGTGACTCTGCTATTTCTTGTAGAGGTGGTTGCAGGAAATGCGCACCTGGTTGTTACTCTGTCATGGTTGGATCTAGCCCACTACGGACAGCTAGATATTTTACAGGTCTCTTCTCAGATCTTTACCAATGCCAAACCGGAGACGCTCAGCTTTCAGAACACTACATGTTGAAAGTGTGGGTGTTGGTTCTGGCCATTTGTCATCCCTAAAATGACAACATGCTGAAGCACTTCAAAATATACCTTCATATAATTTTTAACTAACATTTGAATATATCCTTTTTGGTTTTGCCCCTACGTCCTGATATTGTATTCACATTCATTGAAACTGGAAGGCTATAGCAAATAAGGTAAATGTTTTAGGAGTATTAGATTTCATTCTGATATTTTTATACTTTTGATATTTTATCAAAATATTCAATAATCTAAAATTGATTATGGTGATGTTTGCACAACTCTGAGTATTCTAAAACCCACTGAATTGTGTACCTTAGATGAGTGAATTACCTAATAGGAGAATTCCATCTCATTGAAGCCTTTTCAAAAAGTAATATTCTTATATTAATGAAGACTCATAAGCTCCCAACTTTTTATAGTGCCTCTAATCTGTGCTATTATTTTTGACTGCAGAAGTCTGTGGCCCAATGACATCTTTGGAAGCAGTTCTGATGATGAGGTCCAGACACTACTGAATATTTATTTCCGTCACCAAACTCTGGGACAGACGGGTACTTATGCCCTGGTGGGGTCTAACCAGAGCCTGACCGAGATCTGCACCAAGCTGATGGAGCTGAACATGGAGATCCGGGACATGATCCGCAGGGCCCAGAGTTACCGAGTCCTCACTACTTTTCTTCCAGACTCCAGTGTTTCTGGCACTAGTCTCTGACAGGAGCCTCCTGTCCCCGCTGGGTTCCAAACTGGCAGTGCTGCCATGCTGGGGCGACGTCATTCAGTGTCTTCTCGGCCTTCAAAAGGCTTGGACAGACTGTTCTCCCTCTTGTTACCTGTAGGGCTTTTTCTAAAGAGGATGACAGAACTTCCAATGTGTAGCAATACTATAAGAACCAAGGTAGCTTAGAACGTCCTGGACAGACTCCACCCGTCACGCTGTGTGGCACAAATGTGTTACGTTTGACCGAGCATATGCAACTCACTACTGAAGAGGTGACTTCCGTTGCATACCAAAGCCAACTACACTGAACAGTACCTTCCTTTCTAGAAACGATTTTAGATTGGCAAAAGTGCAATGTTTTCTTCACTCAAAAAATTTTATATTCTCAAACATGTACATTCTTTCCCTTTCTTGTTCCGTTTTCTTTTCTTTTTTCTTTTTCCTTTCTTTGGTGGGCTGAGAAAGGGGCAGGCAACATGAAGCTGGCCACTGAAAACTGTAAGACGGTCAAACGCTGACAGCCTGTGTATGTGAAAAGGGAATTGTAAATGGACTGCAATGTAATGTACACTGTAATTTGAATACAATTACTGTATCTAAAAGGAGCTGCTATGAACTACCTTTCTTATGTTGTTAGGCTACTGTTTCTGAAAGCCCTGGATCTCTTTGCACCAAAAATGGTCCAGATAGACTCTTTTTAAGGATCTTGGCTGCTTTTTACTAGAAGGTTGCTTTTATGAGCATATTTATACTGCTGAAGGATGAGTGTTAATTTTAATTAACTTTGCCATTTTGTAGAGAAAACTATTCACAATATAAATTCCACGTCTTTTCACCTGTCAGGCATGCATATTTTAATATCTGTTTGGATAGCCAGAAGTAGAATCATAAAGGCAAAATATGAGTTGTTTCTTTGTTTCTTAAATGTCATATATTATGTGTAATATATATGTAAAGGGCCATTCTTAAGTTCTCTCCTTAAACTTAATGCTGTCAAGTGTTAGATGTGTGCATGTGAACTTGTTGCACAGCAGAAACATATTCAGAGTTTATCTATGTAACTTATTCACTCTGTAAATACATTTAAAGTTTTTGTGATGTAAGCTTAATTGATACTCTGTTCAGAACTTTCTTTAGACTAAAAAAAAAAAAAAAGAAGAGCAAAATACATGTTGACCATGGACTTTATTTCTGGTAAATGAAAATGTTTGTCCTGGGCACACATGAAGTTCTGCATGTGGGTTGCCAAAGTAATAACCCCAAGGGGCACCCCTCACCTATATGCTCTGAATGGCACCCATGGGGGTCATGTCATGCATGGCCCTGTGAAGCTGGAGGTAAGTATAATCTCTTTGGAAGTTGGCGTCAAAACTGTGAGCTTCGACCAATTCTGTGTAATCAACCAAAGAGAAAAATCAGAAAAAAGTGAGAGCTCTAATTCTCTATAACCTATAATTAGATTGTCATCCTTCAAATTTGGAAATTGATTCTATAGTGAGCAGGAGAAAGTAGTAGAGTTTTAATTCTGTTACCAACACCTATCCGCTACCTACCCCACTAAGAAAACAGCAACACAGGGAGAAATATGTAACAATCTCAATTTTGCTGTCTTCCTACTCGTATTTCACATGGACCAACAAATATAAGTTGCTTTACTAGCATATGGCTACTGAATCATTGGCAGTAATATTCTAGGAGTATCCTGCAGAAGAGAGCCTAACCTAGGATTTTTTTAATGTTACCACAGATACAACTACTAGATTTTAATAATGTTCTGGACTGCTGACAACATATTTTTCTGATGATTTATTTTTTCAACTTGCCTGAAAGATGATTTGCTATGATTTGTAGAAAACAACTGAATCACGATCTCTCTGAAAAATACCTCATAAAATAAAGGTTTCTGTGGGTAACCACAGTACACAACTTTCAGAGAGTTTTGTTGGAAGCCACAGTAGAAAGAACAGATTCATCATGAATTGAATTTTCTACCATGCCTTCTTACCCAGCAGAGAACCACTGCAATGTTTTACTCTTAAGAAAGAAAGAAAAAAAAGATTTCAACAGTTCATTGCAATCTAAGATATTAACATAGGAAGCAGTGGTTTGTGTTCTTCTCAATTTTATTTTTAAAAGGAGATGTATTAATGTGAAAGATTTCTTCTACTTTTCCTCTATCTCTTCACCTCCTCTACTTTAAGTGGAGATGGGAAAAATTGTGTAGGATGCAGCCCCACTCCAGCAGAGCCCAGCAATAACTTAAGATCTAACAGTCAAATCATGTTGGCTATTGCTCTGTGCCTGTTACTGAAGCATTAATGTTAATTGCCTTCCCCAGGGATACAAAGAAGTAGAGGTACCAAAGGAAAGGGTAGATATTTAACAGATGCCTCAGTGGTAAGAAAGATGCCTCCTTGTGTCTCACTGTTTTCTAGCACTGAAACATGATACACTTTGTATCCACCTGCAGAATAAAGCATTCTAGACAGGTGCTCTGTAACTTAGACACCACTTGATTAAAATTATAGTCTCCAAATATAGTGTTTTAGAAAAGGCACTGCACATTTTTAGAGGCACGTGAATGTCATTCCCACCTCTAACCCATCTAACATTGGTGAGATGTTAAGAAAATGTGCTGGCGTTGCTGTGAAATCAAGATGCCTGTAATTGTAGGCATCACACACATGCATGAACATCCAGAGGGAGGTCTCAAGGCTCTTCTGGTTCCAAGTCCTAACAAACAATGATCTTTTCAGTGAACTGTAGAATTCTGGAAAGAATAAGGGTGCCTCCAGGCTGCTTACATCAATAACTTACACGTGCTTCCCGATGCCTGCCTTAACAACAAGAAAATTAGTGTCCACGGGTATTAGAGTGTGTTCATTGTATCTCAATGAAACTAGTTTTTAAAGTTTTCAGTACATTTGTTTTAGATCAATTAATATTTGAATACCTATCATGACCCCGGATATTTCTTTGTTCAGTAGATATTTATTGCGTACCCACTCTGGGCTAGGCACTGTTTTAGAGGATACCGCAGCTATCAAAACAGATGTGGTCCGTGTTCCCATGAGGCTCCTACATTTGAGTGGAGGAAGATGTGCTTGTCTATGTTGGGTAATGATTAGTGCCATGAAGAACAAAATAGGGATACAGTGAGTAATGCGGACGGGGCTATCTTAGCTATCACTCTAATAGGGTGATGTCTGAGGAGAGATCTGAATGAAGTGGGGGATACAATGGATATCCAGGGAGAAGAGCATTCCAGCAAAGGGAAAAACACACGCAGAGACCCTGAAGGAGGAGCAGGATCACTTTGTCGAAGGGACAGCAAGGAAGCCAATGACTGGGTGAAATGAGTGAAGAGGGCGTTCAGAGAGGACAGCCAAAAGCTCTGTGGGCCACAGCAGGACTTTGTCCCTTGCTGAGCAAGATGGGAAGCCAGTGAATGTTTGCGGGCAGGGTAGTGACATGCTGTGACTTATGTTTAAAAGGATTACTCCATTTGGGATGATGAAGAAAAGCTCTATAGCAAAAGTTCTGTTGTGGTGGTTATACAGCATTGTGAGTGTACTTAATGCCAATGAATTGTGTACTTTAAAATGGCAAATTTTTTGTTATATATGTTTTGCCACGATAAAAATAATTTTTTAAAGGATCACGGTGGCTGCTATGTGCAGAATAGACTGCAGACAGGCAGAGGTAGAAGCAGGAAGACTAGAGAGACGGCTGTGGCAATAGTGTAGTCACCAGGCGATGCTGGCTTGGGCTAGGGTACTAGCAACGGAAGTGATTAGTTGTGGGCATGTTTTGGAAATAGTTCAGAGCTAAAGCTGACAGGGCTTACCAATGACACATGGAATGGGAGAGAGTTTGGCCCAAACCACTGGAGGAATGGAGTTGCCACTAACTGAGATGAGGGAATGCATGTTTGGGAGGTAGAAATCAAGATTATTCTTCAGACATGTTAACTTTGAGATATCTGATATCCAAGACAAGATGGTGAGTAAACAGGTGGATATGTGAGTCTGTTGTTGAGGAGCAAAGTCTGGGCTAAAGACATACATATGGCCGGGACTGGGATTGCTCATAAAAATTAGAGTGCAGGTAATGGGCTCAAAATCTCAGATGCACATTAAATCATGTCGAGGACTTAAAACCCCAACACCCAGACTTCCTCTTAATTGATTTAATTGGTCTGAAGCTGTGCTCAAACTCCAGCGCTGTTTAAGATTCCCCAGATGATTCTAATCCACTGCCAAGATTGCAACATTGCTTTCTCCGTCTCAGACCTAAGAATCACCCCAGGGTATTTGTCATAAATGCAGAATCCCTCAGGTTGACCCCTCTAGAGACCAATTTGGTAAATCCAGCGCAGGATCCCTCAAATCAGCATTGCAACAGCCACACTCCACTCTGAAAGACACTGAACTGGGAAACACTTCCTACATAGCAAAGTGCTCTTTCTTCTAAAGCATACCCCCAATTGATTTTCCACGTAGGCTGCTGGTGTAGTGATTCTACCCAAATCTGCCATCGATCTTTGATCTTTTTGTAACTTTGTTTCCTACTCAAGGTCACAGTGAGTGAGTGGCTAGAATTTACTGCATCCACTTACAGATCAGTTTCCTGGCAGATGCCTGCTTGTCTGTCACCATCTTCTGTAATCCAGATCCCTCTTTTAACAGCAAACTTGCATGAATATTGTATTCGAATTTCAGATTCCAAGAACTTGGGCCACCTGGTGCGAACTTCCAGGTGCTCCTTGGCCAGGAGAAAGAAGAGATTCCTCCTGGTCCCCTTTACTATGTCCAACCCTTCTCTCCTCATCTCTATTTCAAAAGGCCCAGAGGCTTCAAAATTCTTGCCATCTGGCTGTACTAGCCACCTCCTTTCCCAACCCCATCACTGTCATCCACAGCAGTGGCTGTGACTCTCAGCTGCATTAGAAGCACTGGGGAACCTTTTTAAAAATCCTGAGGCTTAGGCCTCCCTGCGGATCCCTGAAATCCTTTGTAACGCTCCTCTGATGATTTTGAATTGCAGCCGGGCTTGGGAACTGCTGACCTAAAGCCCTCCTGCTTCCTGCCCTTTATTCATTGGAGAGACTACAGCTTCTTGCTCACCCCAGCTTCCGATGTCATTTCCAGGACTTCAGGAGTCTTGTGTATAACCTGTACGAAATCTTTTTTCTCTCATCCTGTTAACATTCTTACCTCCAGGCATTTTCACTCTGTTCTACCCAGTGATATCTGAGGAGAGATCTGAATGAAGTGGGGGATACAATGGATATCCAGGGAGAAGAGCATTCCAGCAAAGGGAAAAACACACGCAGAGACCCTGAAGGAGGAGCAGGATCACTTTGTCGAAGGGACAGCAAGGAAGCCAATGACCGGGTGAAATGCCATCCAATTTCCTGGCTATACCAAAACCTGATCCATAGCAGTAAGTGAACCAGGTCCAGAATCCCACCTTCAGGCCCCCTACTCAGGAATTTTCCCAGTTCCCCTTTACTCTAGCCCCCGCCCCTCTAACAATTCTCCCGTCATGAATATCAGTCTGTGGCCCTCACATGTCTTTACTCCCCTTTGGGGCATGTTTAAATTCCATGGGTCATTATAATCCCTCCCTTGCTGACATTCACAAGGGATGCCCTACCCCTGTCTTACTCAGCTGGTTCAACCCCAAGTCTGGTTGAACCTAAAACTGACTCTTCCCACAGCTGCACCAGAAGTGTGACATTACGAAGATGACGATATTACTAGAATGCAAGTCACACATGTAGTGTCACACAAACAATGACACTGGTAATGTTACATTTCTAGTAATATCTTCACTACTAGAAGTGTCTTCATTACTAGAAGTGTGACACTAGTATGCGACTGCAACCAGGAAAGTCTCAAATCTCAACACTATCGGACAATCTTGTAATACACTTATGCCTTCCTGATCATTTCAATTTCCTAATGCCTGAGACAGTTATTTCTCGTATTTTCCTCTCTCCTCAGCATCCTGTCTCAGCTGATGGCTTTGCTTCATGATTCATTGAGTAAACAAATGAGTCTCACCTTCCCCACCAAAAATATACTTATCTTTAACTAGCCCTATATTCTAGGTGCTTCATCCTTTTCTAATCAAAGGAATATCACTGCTCCCCTCAGGGGCCAATCGCTCCACTGGCGCTCTGGACCCCATCTCTGCTGCCTGTTCAAGGGCTTTGCTCCTGCAGACATTCCCCTCTCTGCTCTGCCATCAGCTTCTCTAAATGATTCCCTTTAATATGCCAACATACTCAGTGCCTCCCCTTTCCCCAAATGCCATTCTACCTATCACCAGTTTCTCTGCTTTCTTACAGCAAAACATCTAGGAAGTACTACTTCTCTTCACTATTTGGACTTTAACACTGCTTCCATCCACACCATTCCATGGAAACTTCTCTCTTCAACCTCACCCGTCACCTCCATGCTGCCAAATCCAATGGACCTGTCGTCACCTTTCTCGACCTCCCAGCAGGATTTGACTCAGTTGACTTTCCTTCCTTCTGGAAATACTGTTTCTTCTTCATTTTCATCTCCTCATCCTCTTCCTATCCCTCTTGAGCTCACCTTTCATCTAACCTCTAAGTTCATGCTACTCCAAGTATAGTCTGGGGAACCAGCAGCATTGATGGCATCTGGGAGCTTCCTAGATTTGCAGTCTCAGACCCCAGACCTACTGAATCAGAATCTTCATTTAACAAGCTCACCCAGTGACTCCTGGGATGTTAAGGTTTTAGAATCATTGCTCTAAGTGTTGGTATGCCCCCAGAGCCCTGTGTTGTACTCCCTTCTTTCCCGCTTCTGTGAAACTGTATTTTTAAATTTTTTTATTTCCATAGGTTGTTGGGGAACAGGTGGTGTTTGGTTACATTAGTCAGTTAATTAGTGGTGATTTGTGAGATTTTGGTGCAGGTGATTCCATCCAGGCCCATGGTTTTAAAAACTATCTCCAAATCTATCCCTAACTCTGACTTACCTCCTAATTCCAGATACATATACCCAGTAGGCTACATGACATCTCCATTTGGATGTCTCCAGCACTTCAGACTTATGTTGAAAACAGAAGCCCTTCCCCACATTACTAAATAGATCCACTAAAATAAGAGGTAAATGTATCGAGCCCTCAAAGTGACAGGCACTAATTATTCTAAGTGATGAACATGCCTCAACTCCTTTAGTTCCTATCTCTTGGTGGTGTGAGGACTATCATCATCTCCATTTTACAGATAGGTAAACTGAGGGGTAGAGAGTGACTTGCCCGAAATTATCTCTTAAGTACGGCAACCAGGATTTGCAGGTAGGTAACCTGACCCCAGAACATGCCTCCTACCTGGTATAGCTCTCAATTCCATTCACCCTACAGCTCAAAGCACAATATTAAGAGTCATTGTTTAATTCCTCCATCTTCCACTGCCAGCCCTGCACATTTTCAAACATTACCTTAAACCCATGGATTTCTCTTCCTCTCCCTGGCCACCACCCTTGTCCAAGCCATCAGTTTGCTCATGTGTTCATTAACCTCCCAACCGGTCTCCCTCTAAAGTGAGCTTTTTGAACTGAGAATGTGTCTGCACTGTTGAAAGCCCCTCATGGGCTGTCATTTGCTTAAACATGGCCTTGAGAACCCTTTGTGATCAGAGCCCTGTCTTCTGCAGCCTCATCCCCCACGTCAGCCCCAGGGGGATCCTATTCCTCAGCCCCTCAAGGCCTTTGCTCCTGCTGTTCCCTTAGATCAAAACCATCTTCTCCCAGCTCCCTTCATCCTGCAGGTCTCAATCTCATGTCACCTCTTCCCAGCCACCCTGTCTAAAAGGTTACTCTCATAGCACCCTGTTTCCTTCATGGCGTTTATCACATTCTGAACTTGAGAAGTATAAATGTAATTGTGAAAGCATGAAGCAAGTCCTACTCTACCTGGTTTAAATCCTGGCACTCTGCTCTGGCCTCTGTGTGCCTCCATCTCCTCAGCTATGAAAAGCTACAATAGCTCCTACTTCATATGGCTGCTGTGGTGAGTTATAGCAATGCACGGCACATGCTAAAGGCTGCTTCAGCATTTGCTATAGTTGTGCATACTTGAAGGAAGGACCTTGCCCCTTCATCATCTCTATATATAACACTTAGAACCAGTGCTTAGAACATCCGACTTATACAAATTTGTCAAAAGAATGGCTCTTTTTCTTCATTAGTTCCCCTTCATATAAGTGACAGTATCTACCATTTCCCAATGCCATATATTGATGTTTTCACACTAGGATCACCAATTAATGTGGCTTCATGGTCTAGTGCACATGCATTTATTTTATTCTATTCACATTGTACAATTGTTACACAACCTACAAAAAGTACAAAAGCCTAGCCGTTTTCCAATGCCAGGTCAGAGCCAAGTTGCAAAAAAGGAATACAGCACAGTCAGTTACAAGAAGAGCTCAGAGGTCCTGTACAAGTCACACTGTACAAGTTACATCACATGTTTAAAGCTGTAAATATTGCCACAGGAGAATCTCTTGTCTTTGCAGCGACCACACAGTTCTTGTCGATGAGGCCTCCTTAGATCGATGTGTCTTTTCTTTTGAGGACAGGAACAATGAGACTTTGAGCAGGTCTTTAGGAAACAAGGAAGAGTTTGGACACTAAATGATCGGTTTAGTGTTTCAAATGTAATCCTCAAATCACAGTACTGTTCCCTATTACCCTGTTCCTGAAATCTTCATCCTCTGAGTCCTACACGAAGGCCAAGACCAAGTTGTACAAAATTACTTGTATCATATTAAATGTCAAATATATTTTCAAGATGATCACAGAAGATATTCAAGAGAATACTGTGGAGCTAATCAAGACAACGTAACGTAAAAGAAGAATTTAAGAGTTTTGTAGAATTTCTTCACTCTGTAGATTTTTATATTTGTAGCTGAACCAGTCAAGGCAACATAGTGTAAGAGAAAAAAATTAATCAAGAGTTTTATAGAGTTTCTTCACTATGTAGATTTTTAGATTTGTAGGCAAGTCAGGGTGAGTGGCAGTGGGTAGGAATTAAGTGAACATTTAAAAAAGACTAGAGCGGATGTTCTCAACCAATCTCCCATCAGGAGATGGGGTGATTTTACTCCATCTCCAACCCCAGTGGATATTTGGCAATGTCTGAATATATTTTGGGCTGTTAAAACTGGGAGAGAGGGGTATTCTGGAGGAAACTAATGTTTATTTCCAGTCGTGCCTAATCTTTACTAGGATATAAAACAGTGCCTTTCGACCATTATCTCATTTCTGTCTTCCAATAATTAAAACTAATATCCTATGGAAACTGGTACATTACCCTGGTTCCATCCCCCCAACCCTGCCAATCTTTGACATTGATAATCACTGTTCTATTTTCTACATGTCCCATAGCCACACGGAATAAGTCAAGATGTACTTTTTTTTTTTTTTTTTTTTTTTGGAGACGGAGTCTCACTCTGTCTCCCAGTCTGGATGGAGTGCAGTGGTGACATCTTGGCTCACTGCAACCTCCATCTCCTGGGTTCAAGCAATTGTCCCTGCCTCAGCTTCGTGAGTAGCTGGAATTACAGGCACTCACCACTAGGCCCAGCTAATTTTTGTATTTTTAGTAGAGATGGGGTTTCACCATGTTGGCCACGCTGGTCTTGAATGCCTGACCTGAGGTGATCTGTCTGCCTTGGCCTCCCAAAGTGCTGGGAATACAGGCGTGAGCCGCCACGCCTGGCCAAGATGTACCTTTTTGTATTGTGAAAAGACATTTTTATTATTCTAATTGCAGTCTTAAACATGATTTAATCAAACTGTTCTGCTGAAGAATATGCCTCCTTATAAGAAAATTCTAACAAGTAAAACTCACATGGTGTTTACTATGTGCCTAGCACTCTCTTAAGCACTTTATATATATGAATTCATTTAATTCTCACAACATCCTTACAAAGAAAGGCTCAATAAAATAAGGATTTACCCTAAAGGTAGATTTCTGCTTCTGGAAATGGTGGATTAGGTAATTCTAACTAAGTCTCCTGGATGACTACAAAAGCTGAGCTAAAAATAACTATTTGGATCACTGAGAAATTATCAGAGCATTAGAGATGAAAACTCAAATAGGTGAGTGCTTGATATCTGGGACTGTTTACTCTCACTATAGATTTTTCACATGTGATAGCTAGCACTCAATCAACAATAACTAGGTACTGTATATGAGGAGACAGAACAACATACTTGAAAGCCAAGAGGACAGCAATCGACTCACAGGGTATTGAGTTAATGGAGTTCTCTGACACAGATTTTAAAATCACTAAGTGCTAATATGTTCAAGGAAATAAAACTAATATTTCCAGCAGAAAAATTGAAGTTTTCTTCTAAAGAAATAAAAATTCTGGAACAGAAAAATACAACAAATAAAATCAATAGTTCAATGGATGTTTTAATCACAGATTAAAAAGAGCTGCGATGAGAAATACAAATGGAAGATGGTTTAGTAGATAATATTCAGCCTAAAGCAAGAAGAGCTAAAAGCATAGAAAATATAGATAAGCACATAAGAGACAGAAAGAAATATGGTGCAAACGTCTAGTATGAGTAATTGGAAGAAAGAAGGAATAGGAGCAGAAGTAACATTTGAAAAGATAACAGTTGATAATTTCTCAAAAGGACTTAAAATCTTTAAGCTGCAGTTTCAAGAAACACTGTGAAACTCAAGCAGGACAATTACAAAGAAACTACAACTAGGCATATCATTGTAAAACTGCTGAAAAACCAAGGCAAAGAGAAGTAAGCAAATTTAAGAAGGGGAAAGAGAAGAGAAGATTACTTCAAAAGAGATGCAGTAAGAGCTACGTTGTTTCATAGAAACAATGAAATTCAGATCCTTAAAGGGCAGAAAGAACTATTTCCAACCTAGAAATTCTATGCCCAGTGAAAATATCTCTTAAAAAGGTATCCAAGGCTGGGCATGATGGTTCATGCCTATAATCCCAGTACTTTGGGAGGCCGAGGCAGGTGGATAACCTGAGGTCAGGAGTTCGAGACAAGCCTGGCCAACACGGAGAAACCCCGTTTATACTAAAAATACAAAAATTAGCCGGGCGTGGTGGCATGCGCCTGTAGTCCCAGCTACTGGGAAGGCTGAGGCAGGAGAATCACTTGAACTCAGGAGGCAGAGGTTGCAGTGAGCCGAGATCATGCTGCTGTGAGACGAGATCATGCCACTCCAGAGGTTGCAGTGAGCTGAGATCATGCCACTCCAGCCTGGGTGATGGAGCAAGACTCTATCTCAAAAAAAAAATAAAAGATATCTGGAAAAAATAGAATTTGTCACCTCCAGACCAATACTATGGAAAACATTAAATTTCAAGTCAAAGGAAAGTGGCCCTAGAAACAAGAAGATACAAAGAATAACAGAAATAATGTGTAGCTAAAACTAAATGAATACTGAGTATACACAACAATCTTATAAAATTTTAAATATAAGTAAAATAAGTATACAATAATAGCATATAAGTTAGGATGTAGTTAGAGTGTTCTGGAGTCATTGCATTGTCTGTGAAAGGCAAGATTAGGCCAAGCGCAGTGGCTCACGCCTATAATCCCAACACTTTGGGAGGCCGAGGGCATGGATCATGAGGTCACGAGTTTGAGACCAGCCTGGCCAACATAGTGAAACCCTGTCTCTACTAAAAATACAAAAATTAGCCAGGCATGGTGGTGGTGGGCCCCTATAGTCCCAGCTACTTGAGAGGCTGAGGGAGGAGAATCACTTGAACCCGGGAGGCGGAGCTTGTAGTGAACCAAGATTGCACCTGCACCACTGCACTCCAGCCTGGGCGACACAGCAAGACTGTCTCAAAAAAAAAAAAAAAAAAAAAAGGCAACATTAACAATTTAGACTTTGACAAGTCAGACAGTCATGTTTTTTCTATGGTAACCATCAAAAAGACATTAAAAAATGATAGAAAGGAAAATGAAATATTAAAAAAAATTCAAGTGAACACAAGAGAAAAGAAAAAGGGGTGGAGTAAAAAGAAAATACATTTAAACCCAGTTTAATAAGTAGTTATATCGAACATCAGACTGAGAATGTCAGACTAGAAAATCAGAGGATGAATCACTTATAAGCTAGTTTTCAAAATATCATATATTTTATTTATTTATTTATTTATTTATTTATTTTTGATATGGAGTCTTGCTGCGTCACCCAGGCTGGAGTGCAGTGGCACCATCTCGGCTCACTGCAACCTCCACCTCCCATGTTCAAGCAATTTTTCTGCCTCAGCTTCCTGAGTAGCTGGGACTACAGGTGCCCGCCACCACGCCCGGCTAATTTTTGTATTTTTAGTAGAGACGGGGTTTCACCATATTGGCCAGGCTGTTCTCAAACTCCTGACCTCATGATCCGCCCACCTCGGCCTCCCAAAGTGCTGGGATTACAGGCGTGAGCCACCACGCCCGGCCCATTTATTTCTACTAGTTATAGAAAAAGAAGAAATATTGTTAACTAAGGACTTAGATTTAAAAACATATTGATTACAAAAAGCAAGTTAAGGATCTCACCCAATTCTGTGAATTTCTAAACATTGGAGACACCATAGAATCCAGTCAGAGCTCTGATACTATCCATCTAAACTTGGGAAAGTTATTTTTGAACTTAGCGTTCAGATCTATAAAATGGAAATAACATCTCCCACAAAGATTAGATGACAGGAGGTAATGCATGTAAAGCACTATCTCAAAATGTGGCATGTAGTAAACAATTAATAGCAGTTACCTTTTACATTACTACATTCTAACTATGCCAAGGGTGTCAGAGGACAAACACACACACACCCCATAAGGCAACTTGAAATAGTGAATCTTCCCCTCTTTCCCTTCCAAAAAGATGCAAACTAGAATTTATGCTTCCGTTTTTCTAAAATATAACATTTCAAACATACAGAACACTCCTATACCAATATCCAGCTATATCAAATCCTAACATTTTGTCACAGAGGCTTCATTTTAGGAATGAAACATTATAGACACAATGGAAGTGTTTCATATGCTCACCTGACATTGGATTGCTTCTACTCGATAAGGGTTAAAACTCTTTTGGCATTTACAACAGAGTTGTTTGAAATAAACCTAAAGAGAAATATGTTTTTTTCAAAATACAAGCTTTTATACATACCCACACCCTGCAGAGGCTCCCAGTTCTTAATTTCAGTAATCCATTCCCTTGCCTTGTATCTTGCTTTTACCAACCTCTACCCTTGAGGTTTCAAGGTATACTAGTTCTTACTAATCACTTTTTCTTTGAATCTAATTTTCCTTACCCGTAAAATTGGAATAATAACCTCCGCCTCCTGGGTTCAAGCGATTCTCCTGCCTAAGCCTCCCGAGTAGCTGGGATTACAGGTGCCCGCCACCACACCTGGCTAATTTATTGTCTTTTTAGTAGAGACTGGGTTTTGCCATGTTGGCCAGGCTGGTCTCGAACTCCTGACCTTAAATGATCCACCCGCTTCGGCCTCCCAAAGTGCTGGAATTAGAAGCCTGAGCCACTGCACCCAGCTGGAATACCATTATTAATACTTACTTTTTCCATAGTTCTGAAAACTCCCCAATAATGTACACCAAGTACCACAGTAGATACTCAATGGGAAGTGGCCGTCATACTTTTTGTCCTTGTCTTTTAGCTCTTACATGTTTCATTTTTCAGTATTTCCCGGCTTAAACTTTAAATTACTTGTGGTTACCTATCAATACCACCTGCTTTCAAGGTTTTGTGCAATTTCCTGTGAACATTTTCTCCCTGCCTTGCTTGGTGAACTCTTCCTCCTATTTATTCTTTAAAATCCTGCTTGGACATCAAGCTGTCTTCCCTCAGACAGGGCTAACCCCCTCCTTCCTGTGCTATCTCTGTACTGCTTCCATATGAAGGATGCTACTGCACGTATTGCCAAATTACATTTTGTTTCCATCACTCCTATCAAAATAAATTCCTTGAGAACGAGTTCTATGTTTTGTTCTTTGTATCCTAGTGCCTTGGAATGTTTGAATTAAACTCGTTTTTCTTCTGGCAAGAGAAGGAAGTAAATTCAACTTCAACTTTAAAAATCTATTCCCTCTCTAGGTCTCTAGTAAATAGCTCGTGTGAGAAGTCAGGTTTTCATCCGGAACTCAATGCCTCTTTGCCCTCTCTCTCCACAGTCCTTTGGCCAGTAAGGCAATTTCTAAACATGCGATAGTACAGGGCGTTCACACTCAAATGCAATAACATCGGGCCATGTAGACTGTTGCAAAACGAGGTGCACAGGGCGAGGAAAAGAAGAGGAAGCCTCAGGGGCAGCCTGCTGTTCTCAGTCTCAAACAAGGGTCTCTACTGACCAGAGCCTACGGGATTCATGAAGATAAAGAAATGTAGAATTTAATGTGAAGTCTTTTCCAATCCTAATATGTTGGCAATTAAATTAGGAAGGGGGCAAAGGAAACCTTAGGCGTAGCCTAAGTCTCTTACTGGCAAATCTTTACAGTAAGTTTTTTCACTTATTGCTCCACCTTGTGGACAAACAGTGGAAATTTCCTAGCGCTAAGGCCCAGACCTATTCCAAGCACACCAACTAAAAAACGGTTACAAAAACTTCCAGTGTACACAAGGACAAAAGCTCATCTAAGTAACCTGACATTTTGTCAACTATAACGCCAGAGTATGGTTCGGAAACTCAGGTCCGATTCAGTTCCATTCGTTCACTGAGCACTTCCGGTACACTTGGCACTGGGGATGCCACCAAGATCAAGACAAGACTGTGACAGTCATGCTCCCTCAGGAATCAGATTCTTCCTCGCTTAACATCTGTGCCCACCCCATCCTCCTCTCACCTCCTACTCATTTTACTTACCTTGTTCGTTCCGGAAATGCACCACACGTAAGCACTCTCCCACCTGGTCTTACAATCTTTACAGTGAAAATAGCCATATTTGGGTTCCAAAAACTGAAAAGAAAGAAGAAAAGTACTTTACCGTCATGCAAGGGGAAAAAAGCCAGATCCTTCTTTATGACTTTGTATAAGGAAAAAAAATGACTTCTTTAACCTCACTTGTATCTATTCTCAAGACTATTGCATTAATTCAGTTTCTCATCTCTCATAAAGATTACTCTGGGATTCTGTTTGCTGCCGTCTTTGGTACTTTTCCAATCCATTTTCCACAATGCTACCGGCACAATCTTCCCAAAACGAAAGTCTGATTTCATATATCACAGACTCGAAGCCCTTCTTCGTCTCCAAACCCCCCAGTAGCAGTAGTTGCCAGACTGTTGGTTTTCACAGGCTTAGTTGGGTTGGCACCTATTTTACCCAAAACTTACCAAACATACAGGCCACGTGAAATGCATATTTTCAGAGCTCCCTCTCCTTCACCAAGTACATGGAAGAACAGAGAGAAGATTTTGCTCTTATTGCCCCCATAGATGGAAAAGGAGGGAGAGGATGGGGCAGGTCGAGGACTAAGAAGAGGGAACAGAGGATGCACCTGGAAGTTGGGCCTCCGGAGAGGCTCCGTGGCGGCGTCTCCCGGCACCTGCTTGCTCTTCGTTTCCTGAGGGCACAGGGCGTCTTTCTCCCCCGATTCCTCCGGCTGCCCAGGTTTCTCCGGCCTGTCAGCTTCTGGCCTCGGTGGTGATGGCTGCGGCTGGCTGGCCTCCTCAGGGCCTGGGAGCGCCTTGCTCTCCGCGTGGTCCCCATCTCTCCGCAGGCGGATCAAGCTCCTGCGGCCGGTGCCAGGCGAAGTGACCCCGCAAGCTGGCAGGGCCTCCCGGGGGTCTCTGCCGTCCCAGGGGGAGCAGCTGCTGAGGGTGCGAGGCCCCAGCGAGCACTGCACAGCCTTGTCCACCCGCGGGCTCACCTGCACGCCCACCTCCTTCGTGTTGGGCTTGCACAGCCGCGGGCTCAGGCTGGGGTTCATCTGGGAGAAGATGGCCTTAAGCTGCGCCCTCTTGTAAGGGTCCATGCAGTAGTCAGGGGCGTTCGCGGGCACCAGCAGCCCTGGCCTGGCCAGAAAAGTGGGGGGACCCATATTTTGCCTCCAGTCGGGCTGTTTGTGCCCTGAGAGTCCAGGCTGGCCCAAAGGCACTGTGTTTCCGTAACCCTGGTACAAGCCATAGGGAACACGGACAAAGCGCTCCATCCGCTCAGCAGGTGCTAAGGCGCAGCCTAATACCCTAGCCAGTTTGTTTGTGCCCTTATTTTGCCTTCCTCCTTCATCCGCCCCTTCTTTCTCCTGATCAGGTTCGTTCAGATTCATTCCTGGCTTTTCCATTTATTTCAGATTCTAATGGGAGCTGCCGCCTATTACCCTGATTGAGGGAGAGAAGCTCTATCTACAGATGTCTAATTGCCACCTGATTCCTACCTAATTGCTTTTCCCTACCTCTTCAATTCACTGCTCAGGGAATCTTTTTTTCAAAGCTGTTTTTCATTTCCAGCTTATTCACACATTTGCTTTAATTAATGATTAATTCATATATTCCTGTAGTGACCATTCTAAAGATCCTTTGTAAGGTAATGTGGTAATGTTAGGTAATATTTTAAGGTACAGCCATTACGGACAACAGTATGAGGTTCCTTTAAAAAAGTAAATAGAAGTACCAGATAATCCAGCAATCCCACCACTGGGTATTTACCCAAAGGAAATGAAATCAATACCCTGAAGAGATATCTTCACTTCCTTGTTCGTTGTAGCATTACGCACATTAGCCACGTTATGGAAACAACCTAAGTGTCTGTTAACAGATGAATGGATAGAGAAATTGTGGCACGTATTTATACAATGGAATATTATTCAGCCTTAAAACAGGAGATGTTGGCTGGGCGCAGTGGCTCTCACCTGTAATCCCAGCAGCTTAGGAGGCCAAGGCAGGTGGATTCACTCGAGGTCAGGAGTTCCAGACTAACCTGGCCAACATGGTGAAACCCTGCCTCTAATAAAAATACAAAACTCAGCCGGGTGTGGTGGCATGCTCCTGTAAGCCCAGCTCCTCGGGAGGTTGAGGCTGGAGAATTGCCTGAACCCGGGAGGCGAAGGCTGCAGTGAGCTGAGATCACGCCACTGCACTCCAGTCTGGGCAACAGAGAGAGCAAGACTCCATCTCAAAAAACAAACAAACAAACAAAAACAGGAGATCCTGCCATTTGCAACAACATGGGTGAAACTGGGGGACATTATGCTAAGTGAAATAAGCCAGATAGAAAACTACTGCATAAACTCACTGATATGTGGAATCTGAAAAAGTCAAATATATAGAAGCAGAAAGTAGAAGGGTGGTTACCAGGGACAGGAAGTTGGGAGGGATGGAGAGAGACTGATCAGAGCCTAAAATGTTACAGTTAGGTAGAATGAATGAGTCTAGAGATCTAATTTACAGCATAATGACTATGGTACTGTATTTTATACTGGAAATTTTCAAAGAGAGATTTCAGGTCCTCTCACCACACACAAAAGAAAGGTAATTATGTGAAGAGATGGATATGTTAATTGCTTGACTGTAGTAATCATCTCACTATGAACATATATCAAAATATCATGTCGTGCACATTAAATATATACAACTTTTAGGAAATAATGGTTTTTGGGGTTTTTGTTTGTTTGCTTGTTTGAAATGGAGTCTCCTCGCTCTGTCTCCCCGGCGGGAGTGCAGTGACATGATCTCGGCTCACTGCAATCTCCACCTCCTGGGTTCAAGCGATTCTCCCATCTCAGCCTCCCGAGCAGCTGGGATTACAGGCACATGCCACCACACCCAGTGAATTTTTTGTATTTTTAGTAGAGATGGGGTTTCATCATGTTGGCCAGGTTGGTCTTGAACTCCTGACCTCAGGTGATCTGTCCACCTCAGCCTCCCAAAGTGCTGTAATTACAGGCGCGAGCCACCATGCCCAGCCGGAAATAATGTTTTTAATAAAAATTAAAGCATATTGTAAATTGAATACAAATAGTACATTGAGCAGCTGCACTAGAGGATAATAAGTAAGAAACTCTATTATGGTAGAGCTAATGAGTGGCAAGTTCCTGGTACAAAGAGAACAAGAAACATAAAGGTATGGGGGGTGTATATAATGAGAGAGAATGTATTTCTGAGACTTGTGTGAAACGCCACGGGTTCTCACTAGCCCACTCCTAGTGAGACACCCTTCCCCCCAAAAAAGGGGACAAAGCAAATTGTTCTGATTTATAGGGTGAATAAATCACAGGTTAGTTAAGTGTATGAAGTCAAACAGACTAGAATTCAAACCTGGGCCTTACTACCAAGCACATTACTTAACTACTTGATTCAGCATCCTCGTCTGACAAATACTGACCGATTTATAGGATTATTGTAAGATTAAACATGGTATTGCTTGAAAACCCAAAGCAGAATGCCTAACTCATAAAATGTTCGGTAAGTGGTAGCTGTTATTAGTAAGGCTCACAGACGTATTTCTTTGCGAATTAGACTTAGAGCAAAAGCTTTAGAATCTATCTGCATTAGTAAGGCCTCCTGCTACAGCTAAGGATTACTGATTATCAAACTAAAATGGTCCTTAAGGAACCAAGTGGAGCCCATCCTTTTTCTAATCCAAGGTTGCTTCTGTTTACTGCTCAAGCGCCTTCTGGAAGCAGCAAAACCCCCATAGGAGCAACTCTCACTTACTGAATCCATTTGAAGGCTTTGTAGGTCTTACAACAAACCCTATTCAGCCTTGTATTAGGCATGTTACAGAACCAACGAATTCAGAGATCAAGTCAGGTCTTCCAGTTCAGCCTGCGAGGAAGACAGGTGATCCGAATCCTAAGAATCCAAAAGATGGGCCGGGCGCAGTAGCTCACGCCTGTAATCCCAGCGGTTTGGGAGGCCGAGGCAGGCGGATCACCTGAGGTCGGGAGTTCGAGACCAGCCTGACCAACATGGAGAAACCCAGTCTCTACTAAAAATACAAAATTAGCCGGGCGTGGTGGCGCATGCCTGTAGTCCCAGCTGCTCGGGAAGCTGAGGCAGGAGAATCGCTTGTCGCCGACAGGTGACGTGGTGGGGCTGCAGGGTTGAGCGGGATGCGCCACTGCACTTCTGGCTTGGGCAGCAAGGAGCGGAAACTCGGCGGTTCTCAATAAAAAAAAAAAAAAAAAAAAAAGAATGGCAAAAAGATCTACCAAGGCGCTGCGCTAGCGAGGGCGGTACCTAACCTTCATGAGCCGATTGTTAAGATGGTTCCAATTTTTTCAAGCTTTGGCAGTCTTGGATGACCCTGGGGTCCCAACTTAGCGCACAGGCTTACAGGAACTAAAGTTGGATTTCAAATTAACAGGCTCCGCCCTACCACGAAGGGTGAAGTATTCCGCCAACCACACCCGCCACTTGAGCTTTTGTAACGACTGGGATCGCTTTTTGTGGGGAACCAGGTCTTGAGAGGAAACATCTCTTTTTTTAAAGGTCGTGAGCAAAGTTTCAACAGGTCCCAGGTCGGTGCTGGGGCCGGGGAGGCGCCCACCCAAACCATGGACTAGAGCAAAAAGAAGGGGATGGGGGACTTGGTGGCATAGGGCGGCTCCCCTCAAGCAGGGGTGGTCTGGGGGACTTCTTAAGGTTGTGCAGCGGGAGAAGGGAACACCCCCCAGCCTCCCGGCTTGATCGGGTCCGATATACTGACCTTGATGCGCTGACAGGAATTATTTTCCGCCACACTGGCTATGAAAGCACCCGGCGGGCCCAGCCGGGCCGCGTTCCGGGGTGGTGTGGTTGTGCTGGGCTGCGCTGGTCACGTCGTCACGGTGGCCCAGCGCTGGGCTCTGTGGAGCGAGCTTTTGAAATAGGCGCCAGGAGGGTGGAAGTGCTGTGGCTCTGCTGCGGCTCGGGGTCTCTTTTGCGGCTGTGGGTCGCCGCCGGGTCGGAGAGCCTGGAGCGGACGATTTGCGTGAGCCGGCACGGTTTTTTTTGGTCAGGTCTACTCCGGCAAAGAGCTGCCACTCTTGAGGCCGGCGGGTTAGTGGTGGGGAGGGGTGGAGACGGGCGCGGTCTTCCGCAGTCCCAGTCCAGCGCTGGCGGTGGGAGCGCCTCCGCCCCGGGGGTCGCAGCCGCGGCTCTTGCGCCTTTTGTCTCTGCCACCCCACTATGGCCTTGAGCGGAAGGTCCTGTCCGAAATAGGCCAAGTTTTCGCCAAATTCGCGCCCCCCGTTCCCTTCCTGCCACGGTCTCCGTTTCCGGCCTCACGCCCGGGCTGGTTTGGGCTCCGCCTTGACCTCAAAGCCTTACCTCCCTCCCAGCATGTTCCCAGATTCCGCAAATCCCTGGAAATTTCGTTTAATTTGGAACGGTCACTTTACGGAATAGTTGCTGCTTTGTGTGAGGGAAGGTGTGTTTTACAGCGGCTGGGCACCCTGCATCCGCCTTACTCAAGCCCCCGGTAGTCGCTGTATTCCGAAGACAGGCTGACGGGAATTATCAGGCGGCGTTGTTCTCTAACAGGAGCCCTCTGTCCCCACTAGCTACGCGTCGCTGCTTAGCGTGATTGAAACTAAATCGTATAAAAATCCTCTTCTGTAGTCGCACTAGCCACGTTTCGAGTGCTTCATGTGGCTAGTGGCACCTGTTTGGACAGCACAACTGTAAAATGTCCCCAACCTCACAGTAAGCTGTTACCGTTCCAGGAGCTGGGACTGAATTAGAATTCAGATAAATTTTCCAGCGCTTCTGATTTTTACCTCGGTCACATATTAAGGGATGCATCCCTGTGTAAGTGCATTTTGGTCTTCTGTTTTGCAGACTTATTTACCAGGCGTTGGAGGAATATTGTAGGTAAAAATGTCTATTGGATCCAAAGAGAGGCCAACATTTTTTGAAATTTTTAAGACACGCTGCAACAAAGCAGGTATTGAAAATTTTTATATAACTTTATAAATTACACCAAGAAATTGTTTTCTAAAAAATGCTTGCTAAAAACCCAATACGTCACAGTTTTGCTTAGAACCATAAACTGTTCCTTATGTATGCATAAATCCAGTTAACAACATAATCATCGTTCGCAGGTCAACCAGATGATAAATATAGAGCCTCTAGTGGATAAAGAGGAAACTGGCCCCTTGACTAGCAGTAGGAAGAATTACTAATAAATCAGAAGCATTAATGTTACTTTATGGCAGAAGTTATCTAAGTTTTTGGTTTCAGTACTCCTTATACTCTTAAAAATGATCTAGGACCTCCGGAGTCCTTTTGTTTATGTAGCTTACCATATTAGAAATTTAAAACTAAGAATTTAGGGCCGGGCACGGTGGCTCACGCCTGTAATCCCAGCACTTTGGGAGGCCGAGGTGGGCGGATCACTTGAGGCCAGGAGTTCAAGACCAGCCTGGCCAATATGGTGAAATCCTGTCTCTACTAAAAATACAAAAAATTTGCTGG